CCAACAATACAACTCGATAGATATCTTGAATGTACTAATCAACAATACAACTCGATAGGTATCTTGAATGTACTATCAACAATACAACTCGATAGATATCTTGAATGTACTATCAACAGTACAGCTCGATAGGTATCTTGAATGTACTATCAACAATACAACTCGATAGGTATCTTGAATGTACTATCAACAATACAACTCGATAGATATCTTGAATGTACTACCAACAATACAAGTCGATAGGTATCTTGAATGTACTATCAACAATACAACTCGATAGGTATCTTGAATGTACTACCAACAATACAACTCGATAGGTATCTTGAATGTACTACCAACAATACAACTCGATAGATATCTTGAATGTACTACCAACAATACAACTCGATAGATATCTTGAATGTACTACCAACAATACAACTCGATAGATATCTTGAATGTACTACCAACAATACAACCAAATAAACTAGAAGACATTGCAATCCAAAATAATTCTCTAATGTAAATAAACTAGAAAAAAAAGACTTCAAGTTGTGACTTTAAGGTTATGTTTTTTTTTTCTAATGTTGAAAGCTGGCGAAGCATTGTAAAGCCCAATAATGAATTAAGAAAGAATGACTAATAAGCCCAATAATGTATTAACAAACAATCACTTATAAGCACAATAATGAAATAAGAAACAACGGCTTATAAGCATAATAGTGAATTAAGAAACAATGCCTTTTGAGCATAATAGTGAATTAAGAAACAATGCCTTTTGAGCATAATATTGAATCAAGAAGAAATGGCTTATAAGCACAATAATGAAATAAGAAACAATGACTTATAAGCACAATAATGAAATAAGAAACAATGACTTATAAGCCCAATAATGAATTAACAAACAATGACTTATAAGCCCAATAATGAAATAAGAAACAATGGATTATAAGCCCAATAATGAATTAACAAACAATGACTTATAAGCCCAATAATGAAATAAGAAACAATGGATTATAAGCCCAATAATGAATTAACAAACAATGACTTATAAGCCCAATAATGAATTAACAAACAATGACTTATAAGCCCAATAATGAAT